AGGCAAGGGTTTTCCAGAGGCAGGAGTTTTTCTCTCATTGTGTTTTTCGAATTTGCCAATGCGCTGGTGATAAGGCAGCTGAATTTGCTTGCTGGTTACCTCAGGCCTGGCTTGCCTGAGCTCCCGGTGAGCAGAAAGAGCAGAGAGGATGAGCGAGTGCCGTGAGCTCTGCCTTGGTTGCAGCAGGGTCAAGCACCTGTAGGAGCAGCGCTCGGTGATGAGCAGTGACTTGTGTGGGCCAGGGCCTTCCCACCTCACAGGAGCCATTGCCACCGGAGAGCAGTGTTACCAGTGGTAAGAAGCTTGCTGCCAAAATAGTGGCTGCTGGATGGATAGTTAGAGACCCCACAAGCAGAAAATAAGAGGCAGCCCACTCGACTTGCCCAGGCCTGGGGAAAACCTGTGGAGGAAAGTGCCTCAGACCATGGCGCTAACTAGAGGTGCCTTCCTTGGGAGTCCGGGGATAAATGCAACAGCAAAGGGACTTCTTTGGGTTATGAAGTAATGAAGGCTCATGGGAGACCTTTTGTAGGGACTCGTGCATGTTCTGCATGTTGCTGAGCCCTGGAGCGTGAGGAACATCCTCCATGCCATTGAAAACCGCAGGGAGCAGAAAACACATCACTGCAGCCCTGGGCTCTAGAAGTCTCTGCTTTTTGATTATGTTTGTTTCAGATGGCTTGCTGTGGACAGACATTTCTTCCTCCTGCATGGTTGTGTACAAGTTGCGCCTACCATCCTAGTGTGCTCTTAAGCACAGAGAAAGCTCAAGACAATCTCATGTTCCACGGGAGTGGGGAGGATGGCAATGATTTCCCAGTCCTCCTGGACTTGTGAGCACTGTGACATGGTCCGAGTTCACCCAGCCCTGAAAGGAGGGGCACTGACAGCTACAAAGCATCATTTGAACCTAGCTGCAAAAGCCTTGAGCAAGGAAGGGCACGTTAAAGCAAAGGCTTAATGCTGTTGCACCTTGATACCGGTTTGAATTAAGAGGAAACATGAGTCTGTCAGAACGAGCATGTCCCAGAAGGGTGTATTTTTCTTATCACTGGACTTAGCACAAAGGGATTTACCACGCTGGCTTTGCTCCGAAGGAGATGCATTGCCAAATACTATTTGTAACTTGAGCTAGCGAAGCCAGCTGGCGCTCTGAGCAAGTTCTCTGGTGACAGCAGGGGAGAGCTGTGCGCTGTGGTGCTGTGCTTGGGCTCCGTGCTGTTATCTGCATGCAGGAGCTGGTCCCCCATCTCTGCCTATGTCGGTGTGTTTTGGACTGTCCTGGTGTGCTCCTGGCCATAGGGAGGCTGCACTAAAGTGCCTGGTAGTGGATAGGTACATCTGCTTCAGAGGCATAAGAAGAAAGGGTTGTAGAGCCAGAGTGTATATATAATCTTTATAACTTCAGTTTAAGGTTGATTAAGGCTTTCCAGGCTATTTGCATGTCATGGTACATTCCTATACAGTTAGATGTAGCTTGTAATAGTTGGTTGCTCACAGAGGGAGTAAAGGGTGGCTGGGATAAAGGGGAGTAGGTGGTGACTCAGCTCAGCATCTCAAGCTGAAGCACAGACAGTGCTTCAAATTCTCTCCTAGGGCAGTATCACGGGAAAAAAGACCATTAAAGGGACAAGAAGAGTTCAATGACCTGGAAATTGCATTTGTGTTTGGAAAAGGAGCACATATAGTCTTGTCCAAATGGCACTCATGAAAATGAGATCAGAGTACTCTTCAGCTTGGGCAGCCCTTGAAATGGGATGTTTTTAAAAGGGTGTGTACAGAGTTAAACACTGAAATTAGGTGATTGGGTATTTTATAGCGGAGTAAGAACAGGCTTAAAAATGTGAACAGGAACCAATGAAGAAGATGGACATTCTTGCTATAACAAGATAAATCAGCCACACAACTACACAGATATGGAAAAAGAACACAAATGAAAGTCAAAAGGTTCATTATAGCTTAACAAGAAGTACTGCTTCAAATACAAGTTTCTTGTAAGCTCTTTAGTGTATATGTGTATATATATAAAAAAATATATATATACACACACCCTTTAATTTAAGCTCCTTTAGTCTAACATAAGCTTTTCAATATGTATCTGTGCTTCTAACCTTTCACTGCTCCCTGTACCTTTTGCCACTTTGGGGGTACAACATTGATTCGAAACACGTGCATCCCAAGAGCAGTGTGAGCCTGGGAGAAATAAATAATGACAGGATGTGGGTGGGAGGCGGCTGGCTTGCCTTTCCCAGCACAATAATTATTTGTGAGAAAATATTCCCCACATGCGCTCTAGCAAATGCCTAAAGCCAGATGCCCCAAGTATGAGATCCTCCTACTTAAATTGAGCAGTATTTCATTGTGGCTTAGACTGTCACTGTATAGGCTGTTCTGGCTTACAGGCGGCCTGTGCAAGTGTTGCCTGAGGAAGAGACTGAGGAAGAATCCTGCTGGTTCAAGAAACCCAAACTCCCTGGCAGTGGATTAGGGAAGCCACTGACCTATATCAGGGGTTGACTTGTGCTCAGAAATGACAGAGCTCTGGTCGGTTCTTTGTAAGAATCTGAGTTGATGCTGTCACAAAATCTCACAGAGAGATGAGATTTTTGTGGCTGTGGTCTTGCAGGCACATGAGTGCAGAAGAAATTTCCCCATAAGACCAGCCTGCTCCCAGCTGGGTGCTACTCATACATTACCCCAAATAAAACTACAGGAATTACTTGGCTAGTTAGCTCATTTTGCAGCCTCAAAAGACAAGGAACATCCTCCTGTTATGTCAGCAGCCTCCGGGGAAATCAGATGTGTTACTCATTTTGTAAGGTTGGCATTTTTGAATAGTTGAGCAAAGGTGGCAGAATCTGGTCCTGAATAGTGTTTGTGCCACACAGAGTGAGAAAGCTGCTGTTCTGCTTCTGACAGCCCTTGATTTTGCAGCACACGCTTTCATACTGAAGCACGCATTAGGAGAAGGGTACAGCTGAAGCAGTCTGCAAGGGGCAAGCGCATAACATGAGGGTGACACTGAAGTGTGGAACTGGATTGGGTGAGTCAGAAGACAGACTATTTTCAAGGTTGTTTTTGACTTAGGGTGAGGAGCTACGAATATTTGAAGAAGTTTCATAAAATCAACACAGCCTGACTCTCCTTGGTAGTGGCAGATGGTATAACCAGGCCCAATGGCCACAAATTACTGCTTTGAATGTTCAGATTGGATATAGGGATAAGGTAGGAGGGTAGTGCAGCACTGGATCAGCATAGCCAAGAGTTCGTGGAGTCTCTATCACCAGAGGTTTGCCTGGACTCTGCAATGGCTGAGCTGCTGCAGTGCTGGTGCTGGTCTCTGTTTGAGCAGGATGTTGGGTTCAGCATCTCCAATGAGGCCTTTCAACCAACACTCCCAGAATTCTGCAAGTTGCAATGGATGAAGTTCGGTCATGGATGAGAAAGGCACCAATCTTCACTGTCTCCAGTTCCATTGTAGTCCTTTCCCTCTTCTGTCCTGGTGCTGCGTCCACATTTCCCATCAGTGGAAACAATGTGCAGGGGAGGACGGATTAAGGAATGGTGACTGCTAACACATAGCTGAGTTTTGCCTTGCTACAGGAGAGCTTACAGGCCATGTGGACTCTACTTATCTTGGTTGTGGATTAGCTGTCATATAAAAACAGACTGTGCTGGATGATGAGTTAAAGACAATCAGTTGATAATCATGAATCTGGAGTAGTCATGCAACCTCCTGGAACCCACCCTTAGGGAGATACAAGATCTCTGCTCTCACTGGACACTGGCAGGATTTCATTAGCCAGGGAGGGAAGAAGAGACAGGCCTCTTAATAAAAAATGTTCAGTGTATCCATTCTCAGTATACATATGATCCACCAGCATGGAATAGTGAATTTCTTATACAGCTAGCTGGAGTGAAAGTGCTGAAGGGGACTACACAAATTATATCCCTGTATAAGTTAGAGAATTTATGGTGAGAATGATGAGAACAATCATGATGAGAATGAGAATGGCAGCTCTTAGATCTTATACTTGTTGCCTGGAAGTTCTACCTCCTGTAGGCTCTTTGTAGGTAATTGAATTTACAGTATACATCAGCCAGAGGACAAATATAATACATAGAAAAACAAGAGGAATTTGTATGTATGTATTGACTCATCTGCCTTTCTTTTCTAGTGGTATATTAAACTGTTATCAGATAAATAGCAAAAATTTGAATTTTGACATTTCTTTTGATTAGTATTTCTGAGCAATAGTTGTAAGTGCTAGAGAATAACAGGCAAGACGTAGCTCTGCATGGCTGTAGCTGCATGAGAGACGCTCTCCATCCATCTGCTCTTCCTTAGCATCTGTGAGCACACAGACTATGCCCCAGATCTGAGTGGGAGAGCTGTGCTGCAGCTGATGCCGACGTCTCCTTCCCCCACATGCTGCCTGGGGTCTCTCTGCATCCCTGTGCTTCCTGGAGCCCAGAGATTCCCCCTTAAAATGCTGGGATCCAGCATCTTTATATGAGTCCTCCTCCCTCACCCCTGTGCCAGAGCAAGTCCTTCCTAAGGGATGTCCCGTGGGGAGGCTGAGACCATCTGGTCATGGACACTTTTCACAGTGGCATCACGTCTGGAGGCAAAGGAGGTGGAGATGTGGGCTGAGCTGGGCTGTGTCCCTCAAAATTATGGGAGCCTGGAGGTTTTCAGAAGTGAAAATGATGGCCGTGTCATTCTGTTCCCTGCCCAGGCTGGGGTGAAAGAGAGCAATAGCAATGGCTGTGTTTGCTCAGCACATTTGTGCTCTCTGGACACGTATCTGCAGCGGGTGGAAGGCTCTGTTGAGGGAGAGCAAACCCAAAGCCAGGAGTTTTCCAATTCATTTGGCTGTTGTGAAAACTGTGGTCATTTTTTATTTCCAATGTTCTCTTCAAAACAGTTAATTTGAACTGGCTTGTTGATTTGTGAACACTATAAATTCAGACACATTTTTTTTCCCCCTCTGGAATAGATACTCTGGTTTCCTCCTGAGGACAACTGTGCTGCAGCAGGAACTTCATTCAGCAAGAGCCAAATTTTTAGACTCATTCAGACATCTGACAGTAAAGACAGATACCTCAAAAGATTTGTGACTAATTCATCTATAAGCCTGTCCAAGGTACCTATATGTCTTTGAACACAGTCTGCCAGAACCTAGGCGTGAAGACTCACTGCTGCAGAAATGCAGGAAGATAGGTAAGAAGGAGCTGTGTTGTAAAGGGGGTTGTTTACTATCCACTTTTTTGTTATTGTGATCATTTTTTGTTTTTGATCTTTGGGTTCCCAGGTGGGCATATTTGTAAAAGGTCAAAAGATAAGAAATATTTGGTGTGTTTTAGCCACAGCGCTGTGCTCTACCTAGTGAATATTTCAGTGACCTATTTAGAGCCAGCAGCTTTTGTTGAGCAGAGTAGTCAAATGCACAGGGAAAGAGAAGCCCAGTTGTCCTCGTGACTGTTATACGTCTGTCTCTATGTGCACAATCTCAGGCTCATTAACAAGAGCCTGTGCAGGCGTTTTGAAAGGAAGGTGCCCATCACCTTCTGTGGTCTGAATATTTCCTTGCTTCAACTGGCCTGGAAAGCAGGTAGGTCCTAGCATTTGCACTGTGATAGTGTTCGTGGCTGCAGTCCTACCTTGAATTTCATTCTGGCTTTTTAAACTCTCTCCTGGTGCTTAATAAAATCAATGTTTCCCTGGCTACTTAGTAACTATATTGCCATCATTTTTTCTTCAGTTTTAGTGGTACTTCCCTCTCTGCCTTCTTACTGCATGTTTGATGAAGCCAGCCCTCCAGGTCACACTTGTTTATCCAGGAAAAAGTCTGCCCAAACAGCAGGATCCATGCAGCAACAGCTGATGCTCCAATACTTGCATGTCTCTACTAGTGACTTTCCTCCAATTGCCACTAGCAAACTGGGATGCTGGGAGAGAACTTTCTGTATAAATGTGCCAACCCTTCAGCCACCATTTGCATGGAGAAACTTTTGGATGAAGAACTATGAGGGTGTACATGCCAGGGCATTCTTCATTTTATCTGTGCTTTCAGCTGTAGGTTCTACTTTCCTTTATTGTAGCTTTGCAAATTGGATGCTCAATAAAATACTTTTTCAATTAAAGCCCTTTTACTTTTTAGAAGTTTAATTACTAATGACTTCCTTTTAATAGTAAGGTAGCTTTGTTCACACACATGACAGGACCGATCAGCTTAGTTCTGTTAACAATTTCTATCTTCAGATGCCCTCTGTCCCTTCCCCAAGACTGGACTTCTGCTTGGATTCTGTGTAATGTCCCTGATTCTTGTTCTTTTTATGCAGCTCTTCCACTTGCTGCTATGTCCACACCACTGGAAGAGGCTATGGACACCTTGATCAGTATTTTTCATCAGTACTCTGGCAAAGAAGGAGATAGGTACAAGCTCAATAAAGAAGAACTCAAAGAACTCCTCGCCAGTGAGCTCACTGACTTCCTTTCAGTAAGATGCAGCTACTGAATCTCTTTAGTTAATGTTTAATGGGTAGGGTAAGAAGCCGTGGAAAGGTTCAGGAATAGGATTTCCTTATGCAATGCACACCCTACTGCAGCCTCTCAGATGACAGTCCTCTCTGTGGAGCCAGAGAGGAGACGTGATCAAGTGTGCTGCTTGAGAAAAAGCATCTTAAAATTGAGGTCTGGCTTCTTCCTAGGGGTCTGCCATCTGCCGTGAGCTGCAGAACCAGGTGCTTTGGAACAGCAGTACTCAAGCAGCCTAGAAGTAGGAGCAAAACTATATTAAATCAGACTTTAATCGGCTTTCTTAATTATTGGAGGGTAAATAACTCCTTACAATGACATCCAGTTCTCAGGAGACAAGAGGGAATTGAGCATAATGGCAAGGCAGAATCTAAGGTCTATTATATTCTTTGAGGCCTTATAAATGTATTATATGCAATTGTTACACAGGTTTGTGGGAAAACACAAGCACAATGCAGCTTATCTGCCCTGCAGAGAGCCATTAAGAAAATCCTTCCAGCTACTGATACGAAGGTTTCTTTACCCATTTGTTATGTTCTTCATTACACAGTATCAATGCTTAATGGAAAAATGACCTGACACATAATTGTTTTTCTGTATCCTATTAATTGTAAGAATTTGTGTGGTTCCTATCACCATCAGTAGGATTTTTTTTTACATTGTATCACTTTTCTTGAATTGAATTTTCTTTTAATCTTGGCTATTGATTTATTATTATGACATTTGCTGTCCTTACACCCACTGAATTGAGTGTTATTTGCTAAGTAGAGGTCTTTGGAACATGACAAATGGAGGCATAATATGACCACTTAGAAACAGCCTCTTGAAAATCCGAGTGCTGTTTGTTACGGATTATACAGACAAATGTACATTAAAGCTCAAACTTACCATAAGAAATTAGCATTCAACATCTCCTAAAACCTCTTCAATTCATTTCAGTGGCTGTTGAGTACATGGATTTCTTCTAAGAGCTGTCTTCAGTTTTTGGAGCTGTGAAATTTGCTACTCCAGACCAGTATTTTTAAGGCTGTGAATAGTGATATATTAGTAATCAAGTGCATATTTCACATAACCTTTTATTTATTACTACCTGAGTTGGTGACATCCCGCTGGAGTGTACAGTGTAGACCTGTACAGCTAAAATACCCTTTTTTTTTCTTCCTCTTTAGGGCCAAAAGGATCCCCTTCTGATTGATAAGATTATGAAAGATCTGGACTCCAACAATGACAACGAAGTGGATTTTAATGAATTTGTGATTCTGGTTGCTGCTTTGACTGTGGCGTGCAATGACTTTTTTGAAGAACAGCTAAAGGAAGAGAGCATTTAGAAATGCAGAATCAATCTCCCAGTGCGAGTGTAACTGAAACCTGCCCAGTTAGGTAGCACTCCTCAGCCTCTTGTGAGTGCAAACCATCATCTGCTAAACTGTTACTGCTGCAAGATCCTTACGGATCAGATCGGCAGCTGGTGTAAGCTGGACCAAAGCCAGCTTGCAGGGCTTGAGATCTGGCTTGTGATACTTTCCATCTTTTGCTTCTGCCTCTCTAATGTGCATTCATCAGTTCCCCAAATCACTGGCTTGGCATGACAGACCATTTGAGGGGTGTTCTGTGTTGATGCCGGCAGTATTTTAATATTGGTGTGAAGTAAAAGGAGCGTGAATGTTACTTCTAAACGTTCTGAAGGGGAAAATTGGCAAAGAAATTGGCAAACTTGTGATTTGTTTTTCAGTCCTTCTGTAACAAACTAATGTTTTTGCAGATCTAAAAGAGCTGTTTGTTTTCTTTTCATCATTTCTGCTTACTCTAGGCCCCTTTTTAGACGCTGCTGTGTGCCTTCCTGCACTCTCATATATCAGATACAGTCAGAACTGCCTCCTGCTTGCCTGAGCAGGCTGAACTATTTGACATTGTTATGGGTTCATTTTCTTCACATCTCCCAGTTGGATGGGGTTGTGTTTGAGTTGTTGCATCCCAATAGTCCACCTCTTCATTCAGAGTAAATTAATTTATTCATATGATAAAATATTCAACAACAGAGGATTTAGTCAACAAAGTGCTCTGAGAGTCGATGGAAGAACTAGGTCTTTAGGGGAGATGTAAGTGCCTTTTGTTTGCACTCTTAAGAGGAAGACTCTTAGAGGACAAGTTGTGGGGGTTTTAATGACAGCATCTCAGGGTACCACTTTATAATATGAGTCACCTTATATAAAGTGATGTCAACCTGTGCTCATCCAGCTCACTGCATGGTCAAAACCATTGCTGGGTGCAGTGCAGAGAGAGCAGTGGGACCCCAGGGCCGGGCGTGGAGAAAGTGGGACAGTCCCTTCCAGTGTTCACCTCTGCTGGCCTGAATGACCAGGTACTCCGGGGAAGGACATAGGGAATGGGACAGGGGGCTTTTCCTCTCATTGTTCCTTATTTTGTTGCTAACTTTCAAGGCCTCTGGATGAAGTGAAAATTTTCTGTTTGCATAAGAGGGAAAAGAAGAACAAAAAAAACCCTCAATAAAGTCATACCTTGCTAGACAGTATTTGAAAAGCACAGTTCATTTTTTTTTCTCTTCCCCAGCCTCCCGGAAAGCATTCAGTAAGGACTATAATATCTGTATGATATCATATATCATTAAAATGATGTAACTTATTGTAGGAAGGGGATTCGGTAAGGTATAATGAACAAAACAAGAGGCAAATGTCATCCCTGAAAAGAGGCCAGCACCTGATGAAGTTATCCTGGAACAAAAGGGACTTTGGGATGGTGGCAGAGTCAGAATGCACTGCCTCTTTTTATAGTGTGGTTAACTCTCTAATAACTGATTTATATAGGATTCCTGAAAGATCTTATAGGAGAATACTGAAAGATCTTATAGGAGAATACTCCGCTGCGCCGGCCCCGCTGGCGGAGGGGCTGCGGCAGCATCTCGTCCGCTGCTGCGTGTGCCAGGGCTCCAGCGCAGCCCGAGGGCCGTGCTTGCACCTGAGCGAGGTGTGAGTCAGAGGCAAATGACTCAAGTGATCTTTATTCCGGCCAAAGTTCATAAAACCTCACAAATCAATTTCTTTTTTCTTGCTGGGCCGGTTGAGTTTTTCTTGTTGCTGTTTTAGCTACTAAGACAACGGTTAAACTCTTAACCTTCTTTACAGCTCTTAAGCTGTAAAGAAGAACCTTTTATACCCAAAGGCAGGATCCCCAGCAGAAAAGGAAGCAAATGTTCCACTGTGCATTCACAAAGGCTGGCACACAAAAAGCCCTGGTGCAGCTTGGTGTGTGGAGGGTGAGGGCCTTGCCATGCTAATGCTGGGCTAGCCATGGGCTGCCTTGCTCTGCTGCTTTGGGAGCCAGCAACCGGTGCTGCAGTCACCTCCTTGGGGGAAGTTACCCCAAATCCTTCTTTTCTGGGGAAGGTGCCCTGAGCTCTGTGGCTTGCCCAGAGCTGCTGCCTGGAAGCAAACCCCGGAGCTGGTGCGGGCACGGCCAGCTGCGCTGCCGCCCCGCTGCTGCGCGCTGCGGAGGCCAGCACGTTGCTTCCCCGAGAAGGAAAACCTCTTCATTTACAAACAAAGGCGTTACTGTCTTTGTCTTACATCTTATTTTTACTGATGTCTTCCTTGCTGTCTTCAAGTTGGCCCGAAGTTCGTGAATCTCGGAACCACGTCAGAGCTTTAATGAAGAGGATGTTTGCTGCGTGGCTTTGTGCAGAGTCCCTCAGCCTTAGGAAAGGGGGATAATTACAAGCACTTTTTTCATTTGTCTTATCAGACTGTCTGGAAAATCAATAGAAAAGTGAACACCATGGTATGACCTAATATTTTCAAGTTGCATTTGAAGACCAACAAAAATACAGTTATGCCAGAAAAGATGTTTTTTAGTTATTGTGAAGTTGTTTTGCCTGACATCTAAAAAGCAGAATTTGAGAAGATAAATGATAATATCTTGAAAGCTTCTGCCTTTGCCATTTGCTTTTATTTCAGTTCAAAGGAAACTGTAAGCGCCAGTGAAACTGGATGCATGAAACTTCATGCGCTGTCTGTAAATAAATTTATAACCACTTCAGATTGGTGTCCAACTACACACCTCAAAAGTGTATGAGACTCTTGTGATGAGGAGTGCTTTGAAATGAAACAGTCTCTCCAAGTCTTGACTTAGCAATGAGGTTGACTGGAAGCAACCACGTTTCTGTCCTGACAGCAGTTGGGTGTCCAGGTGTGCGAGGGCGAATGGGATAATCGTCATCCTGCAGGAGCAGCTCCTGCTGGTAAACGTGGCGATGATAGGGGCTGTAGGAAGGAAGAGAGCAGAGATACCAGGTTTTCCAGAACACTGGCAGATCTTTTTCTTTGCACAGCTGATGTTTTGCGCAGTTAGAAGGTTCATTAGTTGCTTTCCACCAAATGTCATTAAAGAGTAAGCGGAGGAATTGAAGTAGCAGAGGAAAAACAGCCTCTCCAGGGCCCCTCTCAGCCACTGGGCACGTTCAGACATGGGGCGTGCAGCGAGGCTGACGCAGGCAGCTCTGTCCAGCACAACGGTAGGCCAGGTTCACATGCCTGCTCTAGCACTTGCATGCTTGCTTGGACTGGGAATTCTGGAAGGGAAAATCCCAGTTGTTCTTAATGCCGCACGTTGGCATCCCCACACATGGGCATGCAAACTCTTCAGGCTGTCTGTCCCATGCCTGCACTTCCAAACCTGCACGCACCTCCTTTTCCAAAGGAGCTGCTTCCTTCCGAGGAAAAGGCTCCAGGGTCTCCTTCAGCACAGCCTCATGCTGGCAAGGAATTAATGCTCTGATAGTCCAGAATAAGGTGGGAATAGCTCTTCCCGAATGGTACAGATTGGTCGAGGTCACTTGTCAGTCCAGGTCAGAGGACCTGTCCATGAAAAGCGTGACAGACTCTGTGCTGCAGCACACAGCGGAACGGCCAGGAGGGAATTGCTCTGGGACACAGCCCGGCTCCTGTAGGCCCAGCTCATCACCACACAGAAAACATTCAGCTCTGCTCAGATTTTGACCCCCAAAAGTTGGGTAAAGGGCAACGACAAAATTGGCATCTGAAATTAGATTAATCTATATAAAGGTTTTTGACTGGCAAGAAGATGTGTGAGACGGTGATGTGACGTCACACGCATGTCTAACAAGGGGTTTGACTGACAGGCCAGCAATTAACAAATGTGTCTTCAGAGATAATTAAGTCTCTTTGAATGGCACTGTATTATTTGAAGGGAAAAAGGGTCACATTTGCAATTTTATCATTGCTCTGCCATGTGATACTGCATGAGCAAGAATGTTTTGTTTATGATGCACTTATCTCCTCTCTAAGCCAGCTCCATCCACATCCTCTCCTCAGAGCTGGAGTATGTCAATTTATTTGCCCTGAGTAGCCATCCAGATAGAGGAAATAAATGAACCTCTCCACATACTAATAAATAAAATAAAGATAAATCTTGTCTTTTTAAAGACCAAATTTCAGCCACTTGCAATCAGTAGCGTAAGAGGGGCCAACTCCCAAGGAAGAAAACTGCAGCTGCAGCCACTTATTTTGCCCTAGCAAGTAGATTCTCAGCTGATATAAAACAACGGAGCCTATGGCACTTAGTGGCATAATTTTACAACAGCTGAAGGCATGTGTTTGAGACTTTAAATTAGCTTTCAGGGGGAAGTTGTGTTTCTCTTTCACTGGTTGGCTAAATAAGGGCACGTCTATAAAACTGCAAATGTTGCAACAAGGCAGCTGGGAGGAAGATTGAAGGAGCTGTTGCTCAGTGCCCAGGTACTTTAGGGGGAAAGACAAGTAGTAGGAGTTGTGTGAGAATTGTTAGTGAAAGTAATTCTGGCTCTGTAATAATGTTCTGGCTTTAAAGGACAAGCTCTGCCTTCAGGTACTGATTGAGTTCATGGACTGCATATTGTCATAGGGTAACTCTCAGATACTTGTCTATGGCCTCTGCATTTCATTGGAAGTTTTTATCGAAAGTGAATCTCTCTTTAGATTTCAGGGGGTTGAAAAATGCTACTGCTAGGTGATCTCAGTCCTTCAACCTTTGGTTTTTACATCAATGCCAAATATTTTTGGTGTTTTGGTCTTTCCATCCCAAAGCATTTGGAATCTAACTAATAAAGTGTTTATCACTGCATCCTACATGGTTCTAGGTAGGACAGCTAGAAAGGAATCACATGTAGGTAAAGAATAAGAGACTAAGCGGTAGGAGCAGTTGAAAGGATAAATACAATATTATGCTGGGTATGCTTAGCATCTCTTACTTGGCATATTGACTAGCTGAATTGTTATTCTCCACAGTATTTCGGGAAATGAGTCCATTACTGTAATACCTAATGCTATGGGATAGGACTGTGTTGAATCACTGCTCTTTCGCTGGATGAGAAAGACTTGATCGAGGTGGTAGTCACTGCAGCCGAAAACTGCTCTTCTTGAACAGGAGAACTTATGATACCACTCCTGAAGCTGGAGGAGGAGGTTGTGGGAAAGGAAGTTCTCTTCTCCCTAGTGACCCAAATTTTATAACAAATTTTATAACATGGCATATATAAATTCTGAGGTTTTTATAAACACATTTGAAAGTTGTATTTTTGTATAATGGACACATCACCTGCCTGCTGGTGGCACGTGTCACACAGCATCTCCAGCTGCCCCTATGTGGCTCCTGGAAGAAATTCTTTCCGCACTCCCACTGCGTTGTCCTGACAGCTCTGAGCGCTCCGGGCTGAGTCACTGGCGGAGCTGCTGGTGACGATGGCCCTCAGGATAATCTCATGTCTGAATATAACATTTGCTTGATTACTTGCAACCTGCTAAACTGCAGGCTTCAAGTTCCTGGCTTTTATTCAGTGCCATAAAAGTGTTAATGCAACACTTATCATCAAGCCTGTATGATGCTGATAGTCTTTCGGTTCATAGATCACATGCGTTTGTCGTTTCTTCTAAGTGCTCCACATGACAAATTGCACATCTCTTGTGTCAAACTGCCCCGAGTTAACAAGCCCTGCTAACTTCACCTTACCAAAGTTCAGCTCTACTTAAAGCCAGTTTAGACACACACACAGAATAGTAATAGGAGTGTCATTAGACAGAGCTATATGTCAAGACTCAGAGTCTTGTGGATTTGCTCACAGAGGTGGGGCAGAAAGAAGGTGGGAAATATCAGGGGCAGAAATGCCCAGTGATTGCCAACATCCTGGGCATGTTAGATCATGGGCTGTTAGGAAACGTGTCCCATGCTGTAACGTCAGAGTAAAGGCATGAAGTATAAAAAGGGATATAGAACTCTGCAATTTGTTGCTGGGAATGCTCTTTAGCTGTTAATGCAACTGTAATTGGGTTTTTATAAGGAGAATATATCAAAACAGTAAAGGGACCAGTTTAGTTCCTTTCTAGTCACTGAACTGCATCTTTCCTACTGTGTGTTCATAGCTGCTTAAACTACCTTTGAGCTGGTAGTACTGATAC